GTGCTTTCCGGCAGCGAATAAATTATTGACGATTCCAGACTGCTTTCAAAGCGACAACCTTTTTACAGCGCTAAAAAATTCCCAGCGCGGGTTCGAAGCAGGGCACTAAAAATTGATCTGTACATTTAAGAGACGAATACGAGGGGGGAGAAGAGGAGGAGGGGGTTGACATTGCTTCCCTGAAAACGTTATCACAATTTTGAATATGTATCTATGAAAATGTGTCATGTATACTACCTGGGAGTTAAACCCCTAAACCAGTTCTCATGATGATGACATAGAATTCCAAAAAAAACTTTTAAAGATTCTGATGTGATTCAGGGAATGTTGACATAACTTTTACTGATGCGGCTTATCGAGCAAGGTTCTTCCTATTGCCGGCTTTTATTTTTGAAATATGTGCATCCCCATATATGTAGAGAGGGCCACGGTATTTTCGTTCTTTTTTGCCGGTTTCCCCAGTTTAACCCCTGAACCAGTTTTCATGATGACGAGAGAATTCTAAAAAAACTTTCAAGGAATCTAACGTAGCTCAAGGAATGTTTTCACAACTTCTACTAATGCGGCTTATTGAGCAGGATTCTTCCTATTGTGGGTTTTTATTTTCATTGAAAACGCCTGCTTGTATAGAAGGGTATTTTCGTTCTTTCTATACTTACTCGTCCATTTACTCCTGTAATAGCACCATAATGCCTAAGATTTTCCTTTTTTCAAGAGTCTTTTCTTTGTAATAATACAAAGAAAACATCAAAAAATTACGGAATAAGTGAACAGTCTGGAAAATAGCTTAACAAATAAGTAAATAGACGAATAAACAAACAAATAAACAAGAAGTAGTAAAAAGATTTCTTCTCAAATTTTTTCTTCCTTTTATTTGTTAGAATTGGAAATCCGCAAAACATCAGATTTTCCGGAAAATTTTTTCCCTCCCGCTTTCAATAAAATCAAAGATCTACAAGACTTGCTGGTTTCCTGCAAGAAAACACGTGAGGTGGACGATTGTTCCAACATTCGTACACAAAAACAGGCCCGTATATTCATCTCGAGTTAGGACGGAGATCGGAGATAGCGGAATGGAGGGATCCTTGCTCTTGGTGGGGCACGTGCATCTGCATGTGCAGCCGATCACGAGGCCCGACTGCTGAGCAGTTATGTGTGTCTCCAAATTGAATCACGCGGTCTCCATCACTTGCCAGCCAGAGAAGAGCGGCGTAACGGCCTCTATGAAGACAGTGTGCGCTGTAAAATTTGCTGAATAAATCTGAAAAAGCATAGGAGAGTCCTAACCTGGAAGTCATTTGAAAGTTATCAAACTCAAATACAAGCGGATAAACCACTTTTAAATTTAAGATGGGATAATCTCGTGTCGATGATGCGTACGTGGTTTTTCGAAGTTACTATAGCGATAAGCCTTTACTAGGCACTTAAAGGGATGAGCCAATCCTCTTCGAAAGGACGATTAGCTAGCTCTAAACCAAAGTAACCATTGAATAAAAGCCGAACAAAGCACTGAGAAAGTTCCTGGAAATACTCTAAAATGCCTTACTCATACTGCTGCAACAACGTTCTCAGCCATCTCAACCTTCCTCAGGCCTGTCAGATCGCATCAACACTATCCCCAACCCCTGAAAAATAACAAGTCCCTTGGGATATGAATCATTATTTGTGGAACTAATTTATGTCTAACTTATAGATTGATTTGTTTGTTTATTTATTAATAGACATGAGTTATGTCCATAGTGATAAGTCCTAACGACACACTTTACTGAGTGAACAAATTCTTTTCATAAGATGAATCATTGCAAATCTAAAAACCCTCTCTAATGAGCTTTAAGCAAAAAGCAGGGGAAATTCCCAGAAAATCACCTGAAAACGTCTTATTCATCGAACGTATAATTGCGGCAATGTCCTCAGCCATTACTACTCCGCTGAGTTTTGCCAGATTCCATCTAATTTTCCTGGATTCCCAAGAAAAATATGAAATCCCCTAAGTATAGCTGACGATGAGTCATGGGCAACAGCAGCACCTCCTCTAATTAGTGCTCTACAAGCCCTAATCAAATAAATTGCTATTTCTATCTGGTCAATTACAAGATGGAAAGACTATAAAACTCGTAAATACCACAACTCAAGAAGTAACCATTCTTTGTGACTTCAAATAATACCTTTCAAGCGTTCCCACGTCTCATTACCTCTCATTTCGCTCGATGTGGTTCATCCTTGTCGACACCCACCATCTCATCTTGGAAATTGGTCCGCGTCAGTCAGTTAAAACCTAAAATCGCTCGCTGGAACAACACGACTTTATGACATTGTTGCTATTCTATTGAGCTTTGTGCAAGCACTCGCTATCCCATTTTACATCCCGAAAGAAAAATGTTAGTGCAATACCATTAAACGAGATTACAGCTTGGGCTGAAAGCGCCCACATTCCTTCCCTACAATGTGAAAAAATCCCACTCGAACAAGCACTTTTAATCTTTTCAGCTGTAATATGGTCAAAAATGACAGAATCCTAGTGAAAATCGAATACACAGCGTATCCTAGCTTCACCGATTGACATATCCAACGGCAACCCCGGTCATTGAAATCAACACGAAACATTTCCGAAGAAAATGACCATATGGCTAAATTCATTGGAAAAAGCAAGATTAATCGTGAACGTGACGTCCCCCGGGACTGCCCATTTCAGCCGCTTCCCGTATTTGAAGGCGCCTTCCTAGATAAACACTATTGTTGGCCCTTTATAACTGTTAACTAGTCACTATTAGTTATTCATTGAATTTGGTAATATGTCCCCACAAGTGATGCAATGATGCCGTGACGGCTAGAGAACAAAGTTTCCCAGTTACAGCACCACGTCCACCGATCTATGGTTTATTTCTTATACACATCACAAGGTTCTCAGCCGCCACATACTGACTGACAATTGGAAAGTGTTCAGCGCTATAGGTAAACATAACAATTACAACAATCAACCCACGAAATCTGGTTAGTGGACCATTTTCCTGCGATAATCATCACGCTAGCCTGAAAGTGCATCCCCACTCCTCTCCATATTTTCAATATGCATTTCCTCCCCCGTCCACCTCCAATCTCCAAAATCGTCCATTACATCGCTACATCGAACAATGGATCATTCCGGCGTTCTCCCACTTCTCTTAATGTCCGATGACGACTACGACGCGACGCTCCGTTCTTCTACGATCTATCGCAGCTTCATCGATCAAACCTTCACCGTCTGGCGAAACACATAGATAACGACTTTGTACTTTTACAATAGTACAAATACACCAACAGTACAACGTATCGATTCACACTTTATTGATCAACGTGAAAATGAGGACACGATCGTTCGTGTATTTTAAACAACCGATACTGTGCGCCCAAAATCTTATCTTTTGCTCTCCGATAACATCATAAATATCACCTGATAATGGTACAGAGTACTACATATACTACTGAAATAAGACATTCTAATTGGAGAAAATAGTTTCAATGATGGGTGGATGATTCCGAAACAATGAGTGGATTCGAGCGTAAATCATGTAAATATATCCTCTCAGTGCATCGAATTCATAAGAGCTAGTCCCACTAATACACTACAATATTGAATCAATGCAAGAGATTTTTTTTGGATTTTTTCTCAATTGTAATGATAATAAACTAACAACTGAAAGTGCAAAAAGGCAGAAGCCATTTTTGCACTTTACTAAAACAATGGGTTGGTGAGACCCACGAAATCTGAGTCGAAACTCGAGATTACGTCGCATAAGGATGGAGAAATGCGAAATGGCGCAACCCGATGGAAGTGGGTTGAACTATAAAGTCATTGAAAACGATTGTATCTAAACTACGAAGTAAAAATGGACACTGAACACAGAGCTTGACAAGTTGTTTGAAAAGAAAGTATAGAGGAGAATAATGAGGAAAAGAAGAGAGTACGCTTTGAGGAGTGACAAAAAGGAGAGTATAAGGCAATGTATATACACATGGGCTGAACACGAACTGACTGCAGTCGTTGGTATTGGAGCAGTGCTTGTTCAAGAGAACAGCCATCGTCCGTACCAAGGAGCTGCTCTTCACACCCGAAAAAACCCCGAGAGAAGAGCGCTACGATGCAAAGCGCCTTCACCTTGTAGCCACCACCACCACACGTATTCCTCTGGATAGTAGATGAGAGTACATGTAATGAATGATTAGCTAGTCCGGTTAGACACAATGCATGCATTCTTCTCCCTCAAAGTGAACCCGAACGGGGAAGTGCGCTGACCGCCCCAACTCGCATGACTCATATTAAATAACGAGAACAATAATAGATATAAATTAGGAATACGTGTGTGATACACATAAATTGGAAAAGCTAAAGTGATCAGATAAATGTGACGAGTAAAACATTAGCTGTCATCCACAGATGAATATCAGAAACGAGGAGGATCACATAAAAATTTCTATCATAGTCTGTGCTCGATGATCCTCCCAGTTCCGATGTGGATTGCAGCTCAAGACACCAAAAAGGACCAGCAAATATGTTTTGTACACGCATCAGAATAACTACGGGGACTGTATGACAAACCTAACTACACTAGACTACATACAAAGCGCACAAAACCGACGATGAAGCTGAAGATGATTCAAAGCTAAACCACCGTATGTACATATACTTCTTGGCCACTACAACTACCAAACATGTGTTCCGAAAAAAAGTAGAATTGATTGGCGACTTCAGAAAAAAAAAACAGCTTGCTTCGGAACCCATGCTGAAACACGATTGCACGCAACAACTCGAAGCTATATACAGTATTAGCTCGAACCGGTGTAGGATGGATGGATAATATACAAGAGGTGCAACCCGGCTGAGGCGTACCCGCTAAAACGCGAGAGTGAGTGTGCGAGATTATGATAGCGTAGTGGTCTATATAGTGACGACAACGAGACGAAAGTAAAATAAAACTAGCAGCTAGAACGCTACATAGAGAAAAGGGACGTCAACGGCGTCATCACACATTAACTTCGGTTTCACGGTGTTGCTGTGTGAGCAGATCGGATAGCGATTCCTAAAGTCACTTACTTTAAAGCCATAACCCGTATTGCTTTTACGATGAAGTACCAACCTGTCTGACAACTGCACCCTGACATGTCTCTGGAGTAGGTCCGCGAGACATACTAGCAATGTAACGACGAATCCCAGTACCGCTATTACGAGCACGAAGAAGTGAAGGAGATGTTTCTGTCTAAAACAAAACTGCTCAATCGATACAAGTTCTAACACACCTACTCATTTTGCATAGCATCACGACAACACAAACAGTTTTCAAATGCATGTTTTTTCATCAAGCCCCACCTTGACCCCAAAGCTGCCGTTGTGCGATATGGAACCTCCGTCAGAGATCGATTTAGTACCATTCAGACGGTTTTTTGCACTGATAGCCGGTGACGGTGGTTCACTACCAGGAGGATAAATCATCATTCCACTGAAGGGATCCATGAAGGCTTCAGGAGGCATCATGAACAACGGAAGCGTTTGAGGGACCTGTAAATTGTAAATTAATGCAATGAATTCAAATAAGGGAGATTATCATCACAGACCTGACGATCGCTGCCGAACAACTGAGTTGGTGGTGGCTCAGTAGGGCTGGCACTACTGACAGATTCAGTTGTACTTTCCTGCTCATCCTCATTCATAGTAATTTTCTCGAGACGTGAGCTTAAACGAGCTGCCACAAAGCGATTCATCACATTAAAGTGCTCGCTCATCTGCTGCACATCACGAGCAGAATCAATCCTAAATGATATTAGATTAAACGAAAAATAAAACTGTTACAATTGTCATACAGAAAAGTGAGTTTTAGAACAACAGCTACCTGAACAAGTTACTCGGAGTCTGAAGTATAGTGCTTGGTGCGCTCTGCTTCACCCAAGGGTGGTCGAGAACCTCATTAGCAGTTAGCCGTTCGCTCACATTCTTCACCTTAAATCAAAAACACTGAAATCTGGGTTTAAAATAGATAAAATCGTCAACGTACCAATAAACTGCTGACGAGATGTTTTGCTTCATCGCTGATCATGCTCCATTCATCGGGTGGAAAGTCGTACTCACCGCACTGGATGCGGCGGAACAGCTCCTGCTGACAGTCGTCACACGGTTGTCCCTCAGACCAGCTGGAAGTACGTATACTTCACATGCTCGCCCCAAATCAAAACTGTCGTTTAATTACCCGCAGTCTTCGTCATCACATTCTCCTTGAAATGGAGCATAACCGCACAGCATGATGTATAGGATAACTCCAAGGGACCACATATCGCAACGTTTGTCGTATCTCAGCGCATCGTTGACAAATGCGTCGACAACCTCGGGGGCCATGAATTCAGCACTTCCAACTGGTGAAGCGAGATCTGGCTCCGAAGCGATCTGGATACATTACGCTACTAAACATTATACTATTTCGGGCGGTCAATGAACAAACCTGTGGCATCCTTGGAGGAGAGTGGCCTTTGACAGGACGACTGGCTAGATCCAGATCACACAACTTCACAGGACTCACCCGATCGGGCTCAGTGCATAGGATGTTTTCTGGTTTCACGTCTCGATGCGCTATTCCTACAGATAGGGCAGGTGATTAGGGAGCAAAGAGTAGCTTTGAAGGGATTGCGTTACCTCGATCGTGGAGGAACTTGAGAGCGGTTGCGATGTCAACAGTCACACGGCGAGCTTCTTCTTCTGTGAAATATCCTTTGCGAATGATGTGCTCAAGCAAAGGACCACCACGCATCTTTTCAAATACCATGTAAAAGTTTCCATCATCTTCGAACCACTGAAAAAATGATTACGTTTAAGCAGGTAAAATTTATGGCACATAGACAGTGACAATCAATTGCGGTTATCTACCTCTATTAGCTGGACGATGTTCGGCTGGTTCTTGCACATCTTGAACGTATTCACTTCTCGGAGAATTCGCGATCGCGTGTGCGATTCCTCGTTCTTGTCAACAACCTATGAGGATTGGATTATTCTCCGACATCTAACCACATCAACAATTCTCTAAAATGGTAAAAAAATTCTCACTTTCACGGCATACTCCTTCCCAGAGGCAATTGACACACAAGTTCGGACACTCGCGTACGCACCCGCACCCAGTTTCTCCTGCGTTAGTTTGTAGAAATCTAAATTATTTACCATCAGCAATTGTGCATCATATTCTTTATCTTGCATAGCATAGGATTGACATGACATAGATGTCTGAGGGAACAAAGGATTTATGCGCAAGGAATATGACCCTTTGACCCGGCGCCGTCGTGCAATTATCGTAAACATATGAACTGTGAACATCTGGCTATTGTAGTGCACGCAGCAGCATCGCCAATGTAATGTCAAGCCGATAAAGCGAATTCATAAGTCGAGCCGATACAAACAGTACGTGCACTTCGGAATAAAACTAGCTTTACTAGTTACTGGGATCGTTTAAAATGTACCTAGCTTATCGAGTTTTTCAGAAATGTGAGGCACCGAAATGGGATGTGCGAAACGGAAGATGAACTTCTTTGATTTGTCCCCCCCCCCCCCCCTTATAATTTCTGATACTTTGTCATGATATTATCGTTCATAATAATTTATTGAATTTCAAAATGCTGACTAGAAACCTTTCAAGAGAAATTAGTTACGTAGCATTTCATTTGATTTTCAAAAGTAGATGAAGACGTGATCACGAAAATGAGAAGAAGATATCGAAACAGCATTTGCGAAATAGCTGTGCAAAGTTTCGTTGAGCAGCGGTTTTGGGGATGCTAATTCTAATAAAGGGCGCTACATTTATCTCTTTCAAAGGATAAATGCGCAAAGAAGAGGGCATGAATTTCAGAACCGGTTTGTGCTTCATAACAAAAGTGCAAACAGCGGGTAGAATACTGGCATCAAACGCACCAGGTTACACTCATTAAGCTAAGTGGCTCAAATGCTTTTTTAAAATATGGAGAACCACTTCGGCACTAAAAACTGTGTTAGTAGTACGTGATACACTTTATGACCTTTTAAAATTGGGACTCTAAACAAAAAATGCACTTTATGTACAGATCAACAGGAAAAGCAGGACACAGTTTCGCATCACCTCTATCGCAAGATCGAGCAACAGTCAATTAGGGCAGCGCTTGACCGTCGACTATAACGACGACCACCATTATCGTCGTTCTAACAAAAAAAAATGTTTCCCATCCTTCGAAATAACTTCAATTTCGAGCATTCAAGCCACATCAGAAAAATGTAAGATTTCAACATATGATTGATTGCATCACGAGACAGCAAAAAAAAAAAAACCGACGCCGAGTCAAAAAAAGTTCCCTTTACACCGCCGATTGCATTCTCAGCGTGAAACCATAGGCTAACACCTATTTTTGCACCAAGACATGCTCCATAACAAATCTTACCGAAGAATCCAGGTTTGTGCTGATGTGATCCACTGCGGGTTCGATTTCTGGGACTGTGCACATTCGAGGAGCCACTGCCACCGCGCATTCCAAGTGGAACTAGCTCAGCAGGTGGTTCATCGTCTACGCCATCCACATCGTCATTGCTCTCATCTCCCTCGAACGTACCACCGAAGAAGCGGTCAGTATCGCGACCTCCGTAGTACGATCTAGAATGCAAATGTTCGAGATTTCCTTTTATTACACCATGTGATGGGTCGAGTGGTCATTTTACAGCGATTCTATTTTGAAAATACAATAGGCTTATGGTGAAACACTTGTGTTGAACTAAATTCCCTCCTTACTTTAGAAATATCTATATTACACGGAACTGTGTAATTTGCCACATTGTAATGCCGTTAAGCCTACAAAACCCTGCAGCTCCTTAATAGCTTTCGCAGCAATCGCTCATTTGGAACCCTTTTTTAAAACCCTCGATGCGCATTCGCACCGAACTTCATCGTTCTATTTCCAACAGCTAGCAAGATATTCAGGAGTCAAGGCCCCAGCAAGAGGTGAAATTTCGAGGCAAGGATGAGTGTGAGCGGGCCGCTGTTACTATTCGAACTCAAACAACTTATAGCTATTGTTGAATGATCGAAACGTAATAAAACAGCCTTTTTGGACATGTTGTTGACACAGCCGTCCGCATAAGGAGAAAGATAAGCAAACAAATGCCAGCTGGGAAAAGTGAATAGATGACCTTGATAGATGAATTATTAGCTGTGTATCTAGCGCATGTGATCATCCATCTTGTTATGAAATACACAATGAGTCAGAATTTCGATAATAACATATTAAAAGTAGCAGGCGGAGAAAAAGCTTGAGGAGAAAAAAAAAATCGATGATTTGCCTTCCTCCGCGCGCCACACCACACTAAACTGCAGTAAACAAGTTTCATCATTGTTCACGTGTTTAGGAAGCTCATTCAGAGGTACGGTGAAGAATAAACAACTTGGTTGAATACTACGATGAGTGAGAAAAGCGAGAAAACAAAGTTTGCAGAACTTACCTATCACGACGGCCGGACTCATTTGAAGAATTGCTCCCGAAGCGGTTCAACGACGAGTTGCGATCGTCATCGTCGCTCAGAGGAACATCTAAACTGATACATCTTGAGACGATACAGACTCCACTGTTGCATTAAACAGCTGATATTGTATCTCGGTTGGAAATACAAGCAAAAACCGCTTCTACCTGACTGAAAAAGCAAAAACGCACTCGAAATTTGTTGCATGATGGAAAGGGGGAATCCGTTATGAAGTAGAGTCATGATGATGGTGTTGGAAGTTACCGGTAGATCAGGAGAAGACGAGTGGACAGAGAGGCCGGCGGCTGCACGCTACGCGCTCGCTGGTTCTGAGGCGAGCGGCGCGACGCAGCGCGGCGCTCGATCCCAGCGAGACTCCGCCCCCGCCGTGGCGCAAACAACGGCCGGCCGCGCGGCCGTCGCCGCCGCTATGCTGCGTCACATGATCGTTCTTCTCCATCAACCTGCTCGACATAGGAGGGGGGGGGGGGGGGGGGGGACCGACCGATTCTCCCAAGTGATACGATGCAAAAGAAAGGGATTTCAAGATATTTCGGTGGGCAGTGAATGAACCAGCCTTAACGATGGGTAAGGAACTAAATGTGTCAGCGATCCCTCCCGAATTGCATTTTGGGTAGCTATAGCGTCAGCATTTGATGTACTTTACTTGTCACATTTACGGACATTTTAGAAAATAGGGTCGACACAAAAGATTAGAGAATAGCCGATAATGACTCTAGAACAAGTATAAAAACAAACATAAATAGGTCGTTTCAATCACTTTTTATTAGCTCGATTCAAACTTATGGACAACGATGAAATATGACTACCTTGAGCTGACCGACTTTTTAGTAAAGAGGTCACCAACCCCATAACATGTCGCTGGCCAATGCCTGAATGAAGCCTATGTTCTCCCAAATGCGTATGACAATTACCCACATAATGACAATGAGAGTATCATCGTCCCCGTAAAGACGGTCCCCATCCCTCATCGCCTACGTCTTTTGGAATCGAGTGAGTTCCTCTTCGAGGGTCCCCAAAGAAAAGTCAGCACTCAGTCCTTGAAGAATGCCTAAAAGGGTGATGATGAAAACCGGAGATCAGAGAGAGGGTTTAATGGGGACAACAATCGTAATGTTGGTCTAACAATTAATAGAAGAACCGGACAGTGCTTGCATGGGGATACCTCTGACCAAATGTAGTGCATTTGGGCTGCAAACGGGATACCGACAGATATTATCCGGTTCTTCTACTAATTGTTGTACACTGGGATACCTCTCACACTCCTAGCAGCAGCTGAAACTGGTGTTTGAGGCTCCCTGCAAAGCTCCAATTTCAAAGTTCTCCACCATTAAAACTGCAATCGCTTATTCTTCGATCTTTAAATCAATCAATGAGGATTAGCGGGGACTCTTCCTGGCCACGACCAGTTTTCTTTCGATTCAACCTCGGCGAAGGAGCAAAGAACAACGATCACCGGTCACAATAAGTGACGGAGTTCCCCAAACTTCCAAACAACCTCATTCACTTCTCAGATTTTCATATCAGAACAGATTAATCTATCTAGTGACATCTTTTTTATCACGTACAATCATCAGCTATCATATTTTACACCGCAAAAATCCGGTTCGCAACGCCAGTCAGACGATTGCTTCAGCAGCTGCTGCAGCTGCAGCCGGCTCCCGCCTGTCTGTTGAAAGCTAAAGCTGACTCATCCTAACAGCACGGTTTAGACATTCTCACCGGCTGTGTTACATGGTTCGAAGAACATCAAACATTCTTTTTTATCGTTCTTTCACGCCACAGCTGAATAAACACATTCTTTTCAAAACCTCTCCAAAACAAAGTTAATTCTGTTATTCATCGGAATAACAGCGACTGAACAATTTGAACATCGCATTAATTCAATTAAAATTCGCCATTCAGCCTCATTACTCTCGCTATAATCCGTGGACTTCAACCCGTTCGTCGATAAACTTCTCAAAATAGGATTAACTACTCGACTAGTTACAGAATAACTGTACTCCCATGTTTTGTAATACATTCATCGGCTAACTCCAAAATCGACGATGAGGGCAATGGGATCATCCGGGGCCAGCCGTCAAGGTCTCGTTTATGAATTATAGCATAGTTTACAGACCAAACATCAAAAATCCTGTAAACAAACAGCTACGCTGTCGTCGTTAATCCCCGCTCTTCAAATATGATACGATCTTCAAACAGTCACAAGACCACCGCCTGGTATTTCCTGACCCTCTCCCATAACCTCGGGAAACCTCTACCTCTCCCACGTAGTCATTCAACTACGTAGAACTGGTTCCTACGTGACACGTATCCACGAGTTAACCTTCCGCCTACCGTAACCACAACGTCCTTCAAGTCAATGTTACTCTCGTTCCAGAACATTCGCCACCGATCCCCCGGACAATGGCAATGACCACCATCACGTGGCAAACGTGATTGTCTGCATCTCTGCCCGCAATTGCCCTCGTTTCTTTGCACTCTCCACTGCCATTGAACTGCCTTCGATTAGTCTTTGTGCATCTGACCGCACAGGCCGGTCCACACAGCATCCGCCGCGCACGCGGCGACAGCCTGTTCCAGGCGACGTCGATCGATTTGGGTGGCGTCATTGTTGTGCTTGGGAGCATCCCACGAGACCGTGCTGTTGTGTTTTTCACATGGGACCGATTACATACTGCCCAAGTCCTACTTCTGGCTTTCTTATCCAGCTAAAGCATGAGATTTCTACTGCTTTGCTTCGGCTCTAAAAGCGACAGCTGATTGGAGTGGGAATAAGCCATTTCTATTAATCTCTTTCTAAACAAGTTTGTGTGGGGGATATGAGACTACAGGCCGTAAATCTACCGGATTTCGCATCGTTTTAATTAATTCTATTTCTATTCGATGAACGACATGTTACAGCGAAGTTCAGTAAAACTACCCGGATACCGGTCAGACATTAAACATATAATTATCTATCTTAAATTGAAGAACTAAAATTGAAAGCCCACATAACCTTCAATGTGCGACTGTAGCATACGCTGCAGCATGTCCTGTTGGGATATGAAGCAAAAAAACTGGTTCTCAACCTCAATTGGGCATCACCGGAACATCAACAATGTTGGGTTTTCCTCCGTATTCTGGACTTGAATTGAGATTTATGATTCTTTTTATAAATCCAAACCAGTCGGTTAAATCGTCGTTTGGAGATCTTCTTCACGTAGCTTATTCTATTCGAGGACAATTGCTTGCGGGGGTCTATCCCCATCTTCTAGTTCGGGCTGTTCTGTACCCCAAAATATGGTGCCGTACCTCTCCCCAACACCCCACAACATTTGGTGCATCAGAGTCCATCGGAGTGTTTGCCATACATATCAACTAAGGCGGCCATTATATGAATAGGAATAATTCGCTTTAATTCCCAGGTGACAACTGATCCTCACACAAATATCAACCCTATTACCCTATTATGTGAGAGTTTTGTTTAGCTTGTAGTAAAAGCTTCGATGCGGTAGAATTAGATGATAAAAACGAAACTGAGAGGGGTAGGACCTACCTTCTTCCCTTCTGTACTCTTCAGTTTCGAGGAAGAACATTTTCAAACGCTGTGATAGTACTTCAGCGACTTGGCAGTGATGAACGAGCAGATGAACGCTACTGCGAAGTACGCAGATTGTGAGATGGAACGCTGAGACGGCTAGATAGATCTTAAGTGGAACGAGCCTGAAATTATTGTAGTCGCATCAGACAAGTCCGATGTCGATGAACGCATGTGTAGTCGAATGACGCGAAATATGACTACTACCTATGCCAATAAATTAAGTAGCAAAATTTAAAAATAGACAGACGATCGGGAATCAATGGAGTGTGGTGATTCACAGCTGCTTATATATGCAAAAGCTAGTCAGTCCAAAAATAAAACATCTGGCTGCATGTGTGGAACAGAAATTGCTACGACCAGATGAGCAAAATACAGTGTATGCAAATATTTGTAATATTAGATTACAATAGTAATAATAATTATTTGGACTTAAAATAATCAAAATCAAGCCTAAACGATTCTGTACGAATTACTGCGATTACAAGGACAACGTAACGGTTACTGAGTATCGTCGGCGATTGCACTTTTATACCCGCTACTAAAACAACAAAACACGTGATCTGGTCAGTTCAAATGACCCGGACAGGTCATGAAATGTGAGACCACTGGAGAGAGAGAAAAGGAGGAAGTACCAGCCGGCTACGAAGGAAATGGCGCAGTCTTTGGGGGGAGCGATAGTGGTGGAGTGGCAGCAGCTCCGATGACAATCAATCAGCCGCGAATCAAAGGTGAAACTTACGTCAAGATACCCAATGTTCACGAAAGCGTATATGCCGTAATGTACTACGGCGATGCTATACAACGTGAGAGAGAAGCCTGCCAACCACCAAGTCAGTCACCTGGCTATTGAGGAAGATATAACAGCAGAGCAGATGGACAGCTGACCATGATCAGCGATCAGGTTCGATCATCCATAATTGTAGTCTCGTAGTAATCCCTTCTAACGTTGTGTAATTTTAGCGATCTCGAAAAAAACTTTTGTTTCACAGCAATAACTCCATTCTATTACACTACCCTCTTCACACTACACACTGCGCCATCATTACGAAAAGTGCAATGGCACGTATTAGATTTTGCATATGAATGTCGTGGAGGGCCTCGTTGTACTATGAAGGCATTCAGACTTTATGGCTATTACGATGAACCTGTAGCTAAAGTCAGCAGAAATACGGAGGATGAGTAGGCTAGAATTCAATTATCTGCAGAAGTACCGCACTAAACACATCGTTAAATAGGTCGTAATGAGCTTAACGATGGAAGATGACGTCCCAAGATTTTTCCTTCAAAACACCCATACTGACTTCTAAATTTTACCAATCACCAAATTGCTCCTTAAGTTCGTGTTAAGAACTATTTCGAAGAGATCTAGACTATGGTTGTTGCTAAAGTCAGCAGAAATGCGGATGGGTAGTCCAAAATCCAATTATCTGCAAAGGTACCACACTGAACACATCGTTATATAGGTCGTGAGGATGTTAAATTATGAAAGATGACGTTCCATGCTTTTGTCTCATTGAAACCCCTTGAAAGGATGCCTGCTACAGACTCTTACTTTTGCCAAACACCCACGTTGCCCCATAACTTTGAGTTGAGAATTACATTGAAGGGATTGAGACTTCATGTTTGTTACGCTTAACCTGTAAACAAAGTCAGAAATGCGTAGGAGGAGTAGGCTGGAATTGAATTGTCCGCTGAAGTACTGCATTAAACACATCGTTGAATAGGTCGTAACGAGCTTGACGATGAAAGAAGGCGTTCAAAACTTCTTTTTGGAGCATTTTTGAAAAGGTACTGACTCTCAAACTTTGCCAGACGTTCCGAAATTGCTCCAACTTTCTTTCAATACACGGAATATACAGACTGCCAGTATTGATGCCCTTACATGGTTATTTACTTTTTGCCAATTTTATCCATAAACAAATAAGTTTGAAAGAGGGAAACGTGGAGAAAGGACAAGCAAGCAATAACTATTGGACTACAGGTAAGAGCAGAATAAGTCCAGAATCTCACATATAGAGACATCGATAGATCAGCACAGCGGTAGGATCCATAAGAGCTCTAAACTTCACAAAACAAGGAGGTACTGTAAGGAAAGGGAAAATGCCAAAACTAAGCGAAAGAATGAAGAACGACTAATTTGCACAATCATGATTGGCACCTTATAGTGGCCTTGAGTGCATGGAATCACCCGATTGCAGTTTATCAATGGCCGTTATCAGCTCCAGCCCACGCTATGGTCACTAGAAATCAAAGTAATGACATTTTTCAGTAAGAAAAAAATAGATGGGTTCAACAGACATTCGACGATAGCAGCAATGGCTGCCCTGCCTGCTGAAAAAGAAAAAGGAAAAAGGATAGGATTTCGAAATAGATGGCGTCTTTGAATATGCAATTGCTTTCGTTGTCACTAACTGACTATAAGTGATTCAGACGATGATCGACTGATAGCAAGCGCCAACCCTTTCCTTGACCAACTGAATAGTTAAGGAAAAGTATATGAGTGCAGGACTGAGATAGTAAATGATTGGCTTCTTCAAGAAAAGAGGAGGTAACAATACGTCCCTCCCCTATCCCTCCCATCGCTCCCGCTCGCCTATGCGTCAAGACGTTTATTAATCAGTATGGAAGATGCCTCTCCAAGCCATGCGAAATTACAAAATTATAACACAACGTTTATGATTCGAGTGGGGCTCCCACACTGCAGATCCATCACTCTAAGCTGAGATAACAAGAGTTTCCCGTACTTCTTAAAAACGGTACAGTAGTGCGGGTTGAGGAGCAGAAGGTGATGGACTAAAGGCATTGGCGGCGACGCGGCGAGACAACTAACTAGATTCCGCCGCATACCTACTTCAGCGCAATAAACCCGGCTTTGAAGTTAGGCAGGCTTTTACCCTCCCCTACTTCTCAGAAGATTCTAGGCACTAATAAATCTCCTGGTTCGACATGATTTTGTTACACAAGCCGTAGAACGCGAACTCATAGTGGACGTATCCTGATTCGTGAGCTCCTGTGGTGCTACCAGATCCGGAATTGCTTATCAGAGCTATTGTAAAGTATTAAGATAAACCCTTCGCAGCAACAGTAAACATTACACCGTAATCTGCTTAGTGCAAACCTTGCCCGAACGTACTTTGCTTGCCTAACAGGGTACAGCGAGCGTATGTGGGTGCTGGAAATTTCGCCACAGCTCTTCGACACGTCAACGATCCTACTCCGCAATTTCTTCAGTTTTGTTCTCTTTGCATCTATAAAACCTTCCGCATTCTTTCGTAACCTTCGTTCCAGGCAATTCTTCCGTTTTTCTTCAGCCCTTATGACGAGACTTCTCCCATGTCTTGTCAATATATAGAGACGGCCATAAATCTACTGAGGACCTGTGACAGCTAATACATCTGCATCTTCGCAATGCAATTGGAAATTCGGGCCAAACTGTTCATACCAGAGTTAAAAATATAGCTGCCACGTGATTCTACGAAAAATCTAGCGGAGAACGTTTTTGGGTGTACGATGATTTATCGTTTTTCTAAACAACCAAAGCGCAATCTGATAGCACTATCGGGAACTGTATATATGTACTCTACGGACGGTTGAGGAAGGACTCAAATACGATTGGAAGAGGAAGAAACTAATAACAAAAGAAAGAGTTAAGTGCTATTATGATCTTTCCCTGAATCCAAAACAGAGCTAACAAAATTTCTTTAATCGGTACCGATGACCCAGGTTACCCTTATTTGACAATCGCTCTTTGAAAAGCCCACTTGAGGTGCTATTATAAAATCCAATCTAGTTCTCGTCGAGCGTAGGCAGAATTGAGGGTATTGGACGGGAAGGAGATGTGGGAGAGAGAGGAGGGGACATGGGGGTTGATGAACATCATCTCTTTTTACGTTTGCTTTTTCGTTTTTGCCGGTTATATCAAGGGAATCGTGCATGTGACTAGATTCTGATTTTTTGCGGTATCATACAGTTCATGGAAAACGTGGGGGAATCGCAATTTCTGAATTCGTAGATTCATCACACTCCGTCAACTCCGCTGAAAATAGCCTCCTTCAGTAGTCCAGCTGATATAAAAACTGGCGCCGTCCTCGCAGTAGAAACGAAGCGAAAACCTGCAATGACGACAAAGCGTTCAGTAAAAAAGCCTGTAACGAGTTACACCGAAGGATCCCTTTTCAAAAGGAATTTTTGGGGGAACAGTTTTGCAAGGGCTCAGACAGGATGAAAACGTTGCAGGCTACGGCTTCGAAAGAGCAAATATCGTGTTACGGACGTGGAGGAAAGGAACTTATAAAGGCTATATAAACACAGAAACCTCAACTCGTTGCGTCCACCGAGTACTTAAGAATAAAACCAAGGAAGGTATGACCCATGTTGCTGAGGAATCCCTTCCACTGAGAGCGCCGACCACAGCGAAAAAAGGCCACGAGTGGAGCGGTTGAAGGACAGAGGAAAAACAAGCAAAAAATCGAGGGTGTGGGGATCGACTAGAAAAGGCAAAGCCTAGAAACCAAATTGAAATCTATAAAAAACGCAGAGAAGTTAGTGAAACCTCGAACCAGTTCTGAGATAGTCGGCATACAGTATCTCCTCAACAAGGAACTTATCCCGGGAATATGTTTGCTATTTCCAGAACTAACGAAATAATTGTGAAAACCACCTCTGTAAGAGAAAATAATAAGGTTGAGGAGATCGCACTAACGAATCATTACTTCCTGTCTAAAGTCCTGCAGCGCTCCAACTAGCATTTTCCTAAGACTGAGTGTGCTATCACGAAAATCTGAACCCTTCTAGAAATAGATCCATATCGCCCAGAGAAACATCCACAACTACACCCACACAATCGTGACCTTCTTATCAAGAAACTGATTCCTTCCGGAATGATAAGGAGAGCTCAAACGCTCAAAAAAATGCGAGGCATTTTTTTATTTTATTACAGCACTGAACATTGCAAAAATGAATCTTTTTATCAAGTAAGAACAGATACTGAGCTCTTCTCTGTACGACAACTCAGAAAGGTGGAAATTTCAGATTTCGACGAGCCGATTTTCGGGCCATGTTTGTTTGAGAAGGTAACTCGAGGAACAATTTTGTCAACGGCAGTGAATTCAAACGTTTCTCGGCTTTCCGTTTTCAGTGCGACAGTGTGGGAGATCTATCTCGATAACAGAGATTACAGGACAAAACCGAGAGAATTATATGGAAATTGCCTCTACCAAGAGAAACGCAGTCTGCTGATAAGTTCATGGCCTGGTACTACAGGAACATTGCGTACAAATTGAGTTAGACCCAGCAGATATGAAGTGTGCGGGAGCGTCAGTACAGAATCACAGAACCAAGCATTATTTTTTATCCTGAAAATTTTAGGAATAATTCATTGAATTGCACTACCAAACCCATTTTATGTAGTTAACAGACAACTGTGACTACATTCCCTTACAGAAACCAATATTATCGATCATGAGGACAACCCTTACCTCATGATCGCAATAGTTAGTCTCTATTTGTGAACATGGAACTACGTTCAGCATTCTATTTCCACCACATACTCGTTGCCAGTTAGAAGGGTTCCTATTGATAAGTCTTTGCCCACAACGCCAATACCCATTTGTCTCCCATACCGCCAGGGCAATGACCAGAGCGGTGACTGATTGCCCATTTGGGAGGGACATTGAGTGACAATTCATTCTCAAAGAATCAGTGTTGAACAAGACAAAAGAACAGCATCAAATTAATCAAAAACCAGACTGCATAGAGGAGAGGTAACAGAGAGTCACGGCAAGACAAACAACTACGCTTACAGAATCTAATCCCACTCTATAGGTCCGTCTGTCTTACCTACCCCTGCCA